AACGTTTGAAAGAAAGGGCAAAGATGTGTGGTAATAAATACGCGACAAGCAACACACAAGTGGAGCTAAGCATTAATGTTGTATGCAATGCGTTTCATGCACTCAAACAACCCCCACGGTAAATGTAGCCGTTCCATGGGTCTAGCGATAAGAATAGAATATCAATTGTACCACATGCATTGTTTGTAAACTGATATAAGGCTCTGATTTTAAGAATAAAGTTTAGTTTGAATTTACAACTCAACTCGCAAATGTCTAGACCACTAGAGGATCCCAAGATAAGTACGACTTCTTTTGCCACAAGTCGCCTCCATTCACGGTTTGTGTTCCTAAATTCCACTGTCCGAGTTCCGCGATATAGGTCCATATATATATTCTTATATATGTACTTATTTCTTCATTCTATGCCATCCGTTGTCCGTGTCGCTTCTTCCTTTTCGACACCGCCATATTATCGGCGATTGCGGCCGTCCTCCGTTCCTCCAACTCCAACTAACAGTGCTACGGTAGTTTTTCAATTCCGTTTTGTCTGTGCATTAATTGAGACAATAATTAAAAAAAAAAATATTCAGCAAGTGCATTCCAGCTCACAACAACAACTCCGCAGCTGATCTGCAAACATTCAAGTTCCAAAAACATGCATCCATACATACGTAAATTCCGCAAGTTCATTTGATACAAAACCCACCCCAATAAACTTACACCTTGGCACACTCCAAGTGCAAGGAGAATATAAATAAAGAGTCTTAATTTCATCCATCTACATATAAATTCATTTCCATAGTTGGCGGAAATATATTTATATGCCAACTATATACATACATATAAACATAACGCACATACATAAAAATACTACACCCCGCATAAAAAAAACCGCACTCCATACTACCGAATATACTCCGCGCATAGTGTCACGTTTTGATATACAAATTCTGCGATTCCGAACAATTTACGCGTTCCAGCCATACGTTTTGGCCGCCACACTAACGATTAGTATATCCAAATACGCAATAAATTATCCGCAACCAAGGCACGGCGCATTTTCCGTACTTATTTGACCCTTTACATCGTCAATTGTCAATTGTTTTGGCGCAATCTAAAAATAACGGTATCATAACCGAGTCTTGCGTTCATCCAAATAAATAAATACATAAAAAACCTTACTCTCGTTTTCTATTTCCAAACAAACACAAGGACACTACAAGAAATAAATTGAACCATCCACAATTTATAATTTAAACCTTTTCGTCATATTTTTTCTGTTTTTCCTTCGGTATTTCCCGGCGCCCCGCGGAACTTGCTGCAACCGGTAACGCTACGCGACGACCCAGGGGGTTCCGCCGCAGCCCGCATAACCCTTTCTGCTCAAGACTGAGTCAAGAAGGTAAACGGAGGAGCCCGCACTAAAAATATTTGCAAAATATTGCTAAAATCAGTGTGACCGTTCCTCTCCTCGGCTCAGCGCAATATAAGTCACTCACTGTTTGAGAAATTTCACTTCACGGTGATCTCAAACAATCCGAGTCGACCCGACTATTGTTTTCCAACAAGCTCGAGGCCTTTTTCCTGGCAGCCTTCCATAAGTGGGTTATATTTCCGAACAAATATTTGTTTCCTGGCGTCTTTCTATTTGAATTCTACACAGAGCAGTCTTCTGTCCCTCCAAGACTTCCAAATCCGATTTTCTGTGCGTGTGTGAGTTCGTAATGTGCCAACAGGTCACAAGGACAGCAGCAAGCTTTTGCCTGTGTCCTCTTCAAGCCGTTTACGAACATCGTCCGCCTCCGGAACTACGCCGACTCAGAGAATCAAGGCATCCCTCATTCCGAGAGCAGCCAGAAGCAGCCCTGCGGCAAGGACCAAATCGGTTCTATTTCCGTCTCCTGTCACTCTTAAGGTTCCAGCTGTGACCAAACAAGATCCGAAAGGCTCCTTCGTCAGTAGCCCCGTCAGCTCTCGCCACTGCATCACAATGGCTCAATCCGCCGCTCAATTGATCGCCGCTATTGGCCGACTGTCGCACCTGGCAGAGCGCATCACCGCCGCCCCATCCGCCTCTCTGTCCGAGGTCCGTCGAGGCCAAATCCTCAGCATGTGGACGGACGTCGAGGCCGAGTACAAGGCCTGCTCCGCGGTGATGACTGACGAGGATCCAGAAATCCAAGCGGACATCCGTGACACATACAGCGAATGCTATGGGGTATTTGAGCAGTGCCTCAGTGACCTCAATGCTCAGCTGGCCACATCCACAGTCCTTCCTCCTGCACAGCCAGACCAACAGGGCGGCTGTCGACTGCCTCCCGTCAACATTGAGGTTTTCTTAGGGGACTACGTCCGCTGGCCCACATTCCGGGATCTGTTCACTGCGGTCGTGATTAATAATCCAAATATCTCCGGTAGAGAAATTGTACTACCTCACCGAGAAGACCCGGGGCGATCCGAAGGCCATCGTAAAAAATCCCCCCTCACCAATGACGGTTTCGAGTGCGCATGGTTGGCTCTCCGCAGCCGATATGAAAATAATCAACTTCTGGTGACCAACGAAATTAACATCCTCCTCTTTTTTCCCCGCGTGACTTCCGAGTGCAGTCATGCCTTGAAGGATCTTCAAAGTACGATGCAAGGAGTCATAAATGCGCTAGCGGTCTCCAACGTTTGCACGGACAACTGGGATAGTCTGTTTGTGACCATCTGCGCTTCCAAATTGCCGAAGTTGAGACGGGCGTTGTGGAAAGCGTACGTAACGGACCAAAAGGAGGTGTCGCCCTGGAAGGACGGCATCACACGCTTCTGCATCGTGCCGCTTCTTCGTCCAGCATGGCGGCTTCGACATCCGCCGAAACCCCCAGCTCGTCCGAATCTCAGCCCAACGTACAGAGCTATTTCGCCTTCAGCACAAGTACCGTTCTTCTGGGCACGGCACTCATTAATATTTGCCACCTGGGGACCAATTTCCGTGCCCGCGCTCTGATTGACTCAGGCTCCGAGGCGACGTTCATCACTGAACGTCTCTTTAACATTATTAAGCCACCGTTCGAAGCCATCCAGGCTCAAGTCGTGGGTTTAAGCCAAACCGTAGCGGCTAAGGCGCAAAAGTGATGTCACTTCCTGATCGGGGCCGCCTCCAGGCCTGGTCTCAAGATCGAGACCATGGCATATGTTCTGCCTCAATTAGTAGATAACCTTCCCTTATATCCGATACCGCAGAACTTCTTGGACAAGCTTCCAAACCTCCAGTTGGCAGACCCCTCCTTCCACCGAAGCTCGCAGATTGATATGCTTTTAGACGCTGACATCCTTCCTTCTATTCTGTTTTTTTGCTCGCTGTTGGGACAAGAGACCATCTTCGGATGGGTTCTATCCGGTCCGGTATCAGCTGACTCGACTCGTACGGTTTCCGCCTTCACCACGAAGCTCTCGTTAGATTCGGATGTCCGACTCGAGAAGCTTCTCACCAAATTTTGGGAGGTGGAGGACCTTCCGGGGAGACCGACGAGTGAGTCAGATTCTGTGTGCGAGGAAAACTTCCTCCAGACCACTAAACGAGCCCCCGATAAGAGAAACATTGTTACTCTCCCTTTCAAATGGCCAGAAAATGTCGATCTAGGACACTCCAGATGCGCGGCACAGGCCCAGTTCCTTAGAAACGAGCAGCGTCTGCAGCGCAATTTGACGCTCAAAGAGCAGTACGACGCCGTTATCCAAGAAAATTTAGAGCTAGGCCACATGAATGCGGTTACACCCAGTCATGACTCCGGCCATTATTACCTTCCACATCACGCCGTGTTTAAGCCCGACAGCACCCCAACAAAACTGCGCGTGGTCTTCAACGCCTCCAGACCGTCTTCCAACGGGAAAAGCCTCAACGACACATTGCATTCGGGGCCAGTCCTTCAGTCTGACTTGACCATGCAAATCCTGAGGTGGCGAGTCTTCCGCTATGTCTTCAATGCCGACATCAGCAAGATGTATCGCCAGATCCAAGTGTCTTCCCAACACACACCCTATCAGCGAATACTCTTTCGCAACCGTAATGGGGACGTTTGTAACTATGAGCTTGCCACCTTCGGAGTCAATTGCGCACCGTACCTCGCCCTTCGCGTCATTAAGCAACTCGCACAAGAGCTGCGTCCACAGTTGCCAATGGCAAGCGACATCCTGGAGAGCTACAAGTACGTAGACAGCATGTGCTCACACTTAGTCACAGGCAATTTCCGCCATTTCAGAATTACGCAAAGCACTCGACTCCACGGGGTTTCCACTCCGAAAATGGACAGCAAGCCATAAGGGCGTTCTGCGCGACATTCCGGTCGACCACTTACTCCGAGCTGACTTCCTAGAGCTTGAAGAAAGTAGCATCGCTAAGACCTTGGGGATCCGATGGCAAGCCAGTGCCGACGAGTTTTTCTTTAATCCAACGAGAATCCTGCACAAAGCGCAATGTTCTGTCCCAGATTAGGGTGGGATGACGTCCTTCCTAGCGATCTGTCTCAATCGTGGGATACGTTCCTGAGAAGCTTTCCGGCCATTCAAGGGATCCGTATTCTGCGGTGGCTGCACGTGTGTCCGATGGCCAAGGTACAGATACATGGCTTCTGCGACGCGTCTCAACGTGCCTATGGGGCAGCGATTTACATCCGAGTTGAGCGACCGCAGGGCATTGTCTGTGCCCTTCTCACAGCAAAAACCCGCGTGGCTCCCGTGAAAACGGTTTCCTTGCCTGGACTCGAACTGTGCGAAGCCGTCCTTCTGACAGAGCTTTCCGAGGCCATCCTCAACTGCCACTAGACACCAAACAGGTGTCCTTCTGGACCGATTCCACGATTGTATTGGCCTGGCTGAACAGACCTGTTTGCGATTGAACCACTTTCGTGGGCAATCGAGTAGCCAAAATCACTCGATGTTGGCCGAGCGAGCGATGGAGCCACGTCCGATCCGAGGACAATCCGGCCGACCTGGCCAGTCGAGGGCTAGGACCCACTGACCTGGTCGTAAATGACATGTTGTGGCATGGCCCTGCTTGGTTGCGTGGTCCACGGGACCCAGTCCTTGAGAATGACCTGGAGAAGCGAGCCGTCAAGGTGCACCGTGCCACCGGCAGCGCCTCGGATATCCTCAGCAGGTTCTCCGAACTCGGACGAGCTCTGCGCGTGAATGCCTACGTTCGGCGGTTCATCCAGCGTGTCAGCGGGCAGTCAACGCCAACCCTTGTCTCCAAGGAGTTAAACGGAAAGGAGGTCGCTGCAGCTCTCCAAGCTGTCACCATAACGACCCAACGCGTCCATTATGCGGGGGAGCATCGGTGCCTGGTAAACAAGCAGCCACTCCCGACTACGAGTTCTCTTCAAAATCATAATCCGTTCCTTGACCAGAATGGAGTCATGCGGGCATCTGGACGAGTCCAAGCCTCAGCGTCCATGTCCTGCAATGAACGGCATCCAATCCTGTTGCCACCCGCATGTCTCCTGGTTGGCCTGCTGGTTCGATTCACCCATCACATAGCCCTGCATGGTGGGAACCAGCTGGTCATCCGCCTTATCCGGGCAACATACTGGATCCCTCGACTACGTCACGTAGTGAGGGCAGTGATCCACACCTGTAAGGTTTGCGTCATCCATCGTAAACGACTCCAAACCCAACTGATGGCAACCTTCCTGCCTCACGAGTCACATTTTCCAGGCCGTTCACATACACCGGAGCCGGTCCCTTCGACGTTAAAAGTTTCACAGGGCGCGTGTCGCATCTCAAAGGGGTATGTGTGCGAGTTCGTCTGTTTTGGCACGAAGGCCATCCCCTTAGAGGCCACGTCCGATTTATCCACCGACACCTTCCTAGCCGCCTTCGCTCGTTTCATCGTGAGACGAGGTTGTCCTCACGAAGTTCAATCCGACAACGGCAGGAATTTTGTCGGCGCATCCCGCTCTCTGGCTGCGGATCTTCTCGAGGCCATTCGCACTCGGACTTCTGCGGTGTACAGCCAGCAGAGGCTATCGTGGCGTTTTATCCCTCCAGGAGCCCCAGATATGGGGGGCTTCTGGGCAGCGGGTGTGAAGAGCTTCAAGGCTCTGTTCCAACGGTCGATGTGTTCGTCCAAATACACATTAGAGGAGTTCGTGACCTTACTTTCGAAAATTGAGGCATGTCTTAACTCGCGACCAATCTCTCCTATGTCTGAGGATCCAACGAATCCGTTGGCTTTGAGCCCAGGCCATTTCCTGATTGGTGGTCCGCTACTATCCGTGGCAGAGCCAGAAATAAAAGCGAGTGCCTCCTCCATCCTAAGCCGCTGGCAACATCTTAAGGCTCTCAACCAGCAATTCTGTTCGCGATGGAAGACAGAGTACCTGCGAGAGTTGCACAAGCGTAACAAATGGCAGCATCCGACAAGAGACCTCGAGGTTGGAGACCTCGTGGTGATCAAGGAGGAGAACAGCCCCTCTCAGGAATGGCGTCTCAGCCGTGTACAGAACGCGTAACCTGGAGCCGATGATAAGGTCCGTGTGGTAGACCTAATCACGGCACGCGGCCTTATCAAGAGACCGATCACGAAGGTGGTTCTGCTGCCTATGAAATCGGAGGTCCATTCCACCTACTCTCTCGTAGGCTGCGATCCATAAGACTCCGTCCTTTTGTATGCTTGTATCCAGCTTAGTTATCCGTATCTCCTAAGTAATTCCAAGATCTCACTTCTCAATTAGTTGACGAGGTAATACCTCCTTCCAATGCCGAGTGTGCCCAGGAGTGCATTCACTAAGGAACTGCCGGAAATTTATCCGCTTAAGCGGTGAGAAGAGACTCCGAGCCGTTCAAGTTGCCCACCACCTGCATCGGGGATGAGAAGGTGTGTACCGCAATGACCCGGGCTAAAACGGTAGACTTCCAAGTGGAGGCACTCTTCAAGATCGAGCCCCGTCTGCGCGTCCGTACGCCGTACGTTCACTGAGCGACACCGTCCGTGCTCGTTTCGACGACCTGAAGCTGGCCAATGAGCATTCCATAATCCGACGACCATCTCGCTCGTCTTGGGTGCGGATCTGTATCCGAGGGTCATCCAACCTGGGTTCCTCGCCCGCGCTGACGGCCTTCCCGTGGCTCAAAGCACAGTGTTTGGATGGATCGTGTCTCTCGCATCATCATTTCTCGCTTGCCTACTGCATTTTTCAAGCCAGCCCGACACCTGAAGTCACCTACAAACTACAAATTTTCTTGTAGCGGACCCTGGACAGACTGATGCATACCTCAGCCTGAAATAGGACCTCACAACGTCCAAATACACATTAGAGGAGTTACTTTCGACCTTACTTTCAAAAATTGAGGCATGTCTTAACTCGCGACCAATCTCTCCTATGTCTGAGGATCCAACGGATCCGTTGGCTTTGAGCACAGGCCATTTCCTGATTGGTGGTCCGCTACTATCCGTGGCAGAGCCAGAAATAAAAGCGAGCTCCTCCTCCATCTTAAACCGCTGGCAACATCTCAAGGCTCTCAACCAGCAATTCTGTTCGCGCTGGAAGACAGAGTAACTGCGAGAGTTGCACAAGCGTAACAAATGGCAGCATCCGACAAGAGACCTCGAGGTTGGAGACCTCGTGGTGATCAAGGAGGAGAACATCCCCTCTCAGGAATGGCGTCTCGGCCGTGTACAGAACGCGTAACCTGGAGCCGATGATAAGGTCCGTGTGGTAGACCTGCTCACGGCCCGCGGCCTTATCAAGAGACCGATCACGAAGGTGGTTCTGCTGCCTATGGAATCGGAGGTCCATTCCACCTACTCTCGCGTAGACTCCGATCCATAAGACTCCGTCCTTTTTTTTATGCTTAAGTCCCGCTTAGTTCTCCGTATCTCTTTAGTAATTCCAAGATCTCACTGCTCGATTAGTTGACAACCCGTGCCAGCTCTTTACTAATGCTTCCTTGACTCCTTTCTTTCATCCTAGTATTTTTCCGGAATCCAAACATGACCCCTCAAACTTCCTCACGGTCCCGATCCAGCCGCAGGTCGGATCGCACACGGGCACGAGGTAATACAGCCTTCCAATGCCGAGTGTGCCCAGGAGTCCATCCGCTAAGGAACTGCTGGAAATTTATCCGCTTGAGCTTAGAGAAAAGACTCCGAGCCGTCCTCCTACACAAATATTGCTCTAATTGCCTGGCTCACGAACACTCGGGCAAGAACTGCCGCAGTGGGGATCTATGCAAGGTGTGCACCCGCAACCACCACACGTTGCTCCACCTGCCCGGGTCTCGGCGCCCCGCTGGCTCCTCTTCGGCACCGTCGCCTTCAGCGTTATATAGCGTATATAGCGTTATAGCGTTGAGCGTGAAAAACGGAGAAATTTGACCGAGCTATTAGATAGCGAGAGAGAGAATAGCGAGAGAGGAGAACTAACTTTTTGAAATTTATTATAAAAAAATGTTTGTTCCGTTCATAAGGTCATTACACAAGTATAAAGAGGACAATTGAAAATCCCTAATGAGCTTATTAAACTTCGTAAACTCGACTTAACGAAAGCAGTGGACACTTTCAGATAGCCTACCTGATCGATCCAATACAGTAGGCCCAATATCGACCAACACTTCGAATGTAGGATGGTAGGAGTCTTCAGGTAAAGTGAGCGGAAGGGCTCGGGTTAGCAACGCTATGGTCGGATCCGAGACAAATCACAGATCAAGCAATCGACCCAAAGAATTTTTCACATGGTTGACTTGGTCGACGCCAGGGAAAGGTCTAGCACGCCCACTGGTGGGAGTCTCACCAAAGCAACAAGTTAGTCGAAAAACCTAACTTCCTTAAGTTACCTACCTGAATGCTGAGAAAGCTCAGCACTCTCTTTCTGAAGAGTGTCGCATTTTCGTCCCACGTTATTGTGTTTACCGAGACCTGGTTAATGACGGACATCCTTAGTTCCGAAGTTTTGGCAGGTCAGTACACAATCTTTAGAAATGACCTTTAGTCTCGACGTGGAGGAGGGGTCCTCATTTCAGTGGACTCAAACTTCACGTCGGGACATTTCATAGTCAAGGTTAAACAAGACCTGGAATTCCTGTGGGTAAAACTGATTCTTCCAGGCTTTTCCATTTTCATTACTTGCACCTTCTTCGGATATCTTAATATAAGAGCATCTCCTGTCCGCTTTAAAAACGTATGCCTCACAACTGTAATGCAGGCAATTACGTTTTGAAATAGCATCACCCACGATGCCCGAAAACAAAGCGCATTTTACGTGCAGTACAGAGTGGCAGAGTCAGAGAGGCAGCAATTGATGCCGGCTGGTCGTAGTTGATCTGTTTCTTGCAGGTTTTGCCGAAACAGACAACTATGTAGTCCATAGTTGAAGTAAAAAATAATAATATTATTACAAAATTCAAAACAAATAGCTATCAGACCAAAGTACAAAGTAAGAGCTTAAAGTGGAATCGGTAAAGACTGACAGAGGAGAACAGTTGCAGCAGCAGCTAACAACAGAGAGAGAGAGAGCGCTACTGCACATAAAGTATTGTTTGCGTGAGAGGAAGAACAGTTAGTTAGGTATAGGTTAAAAGGAGAGAGTGATAGAACAGCTACGACAAGAGAGCGGGCAAAAATGTAGTTTGAGTACAATGAGACTGGTAATAAGTCTACAGCGGTCCGAAGACAGACACGTCCAATGGCTGCCATTTTTGACTGCATTGCTGTGGAAAGGAGAGAATGTGCAATCCATTGGCAACGAACAAATTTATGGCTGCAATGCATAAATGCGACGAATCGTTGTTGAGAAGCAGCAAGATGAAAGAAGCTGGCATAGAATTAACACAAATGACTAAATGTCGCATATAACGTTCAAACGCACATCTAGTCAGACCAAGGAATAATAGATAACGGTGAAATGCTGTTGCCAGCAGCAGGTTAGGTTATGTTATCGCCTTCGTGATCATCGTTACGCTTCCGCGGGCTCAAGCTTTCCGACATGTCGCGTTCCATTTAAAGTAAAAGCCTTATTCGTCCTTTTTATAGATATGAGTCGCTTCGAAGTGATGCTCATCAAATAATCAAATAATTGGTCAACTCATCGGAAGAAAATGTGGTGTATTTTTGTATCCATGTCACTAAAAAACTGTAAGGTGTGCGGAATGAAATACGAACAACTGTTGTAATACAAATAAAAAATGTATTCCAATTCTGATCAACTTAAATTTTTCATATGTTTTTTATTAGACTATAAGCTATTTAAAAAAAAAACATTCCTGTCATAGCTATCAGCCATCCTTATATTTTCAAGTACCTTGCGCATAGCCACCTGAATTCCCTTTGTATCCATTTCAGCAAGCTTTCTGTTGATTTTTAATATTAAACAGTCTGTTTTTTAACTTATATCCCTTGCTGTGAGCATTCCTTCTCAAATTTTCCCAAAACTCTTCAATTGGCCTTAACTGAGGCACATTTGAAGGGTTTTGCAGATTAGGCATAAACTTAATGATCAAGTGGTCAAGAGCCTCCAGAGTTGTTCTGGCGCATTGAGCAGACGCTAAGTCGGGCCAAAATACCCTATTATCATTCGCATGATAAATGCATTTAGGTGCAACAAAGTCGTGTCCGTTAAACCGCTTATAACTCGGGAACGGCTGATCGGAAAATCGATTTTAGAACGGCTGGACTGATTTTCATTGTTTTTCGTTTTTTAGTTTATCCAAAATAGCACAATAACTATTAAAAACATCGCAAAACGTTAGTGTTGTTTTATGAAGTAGGCATTTCCAGGGCTATCAAACGTTTGGATAATTTAATATATGGAGGAAAGTAATACATCATTAAAAAAATAAATTCAGTTGGTTTAAAGTGCTTATAGAGTATAGATGAAATTAATCTTTTTAGACCGATTTGGCTATTTTTTATTCAAAAAACAAAAAACAAAAAACAAAAAAAAAACGAGAAGGAACGTGTGACTCGCTTTTGGGGACGCGACTCTACTTATACCCGTACTCAGTCAGTATATAAATTTTTGAGCTCATGATTTATGTAGAATTTTAAAAAAATTTACATTTTGCATTTTTTTGCTACATCTGTTATCTTAACTCTTTTTTGAGTACGGGTTTAAAAAAATTGGAAAATTGTGTGGAAAGTGTTACATAAATTTCTGATTTGTTTTAAAAATTGTTTTGAGTGTTATTTTTATAATTTCCATATAAGAGGCCCTACATTTATAGATTTTTGTTTTTACTTGGATGTTAATTATAATATATATACTAAATACCACAAACTAATTTTACAATATTTTTGCGAAGCGATCTCGGGACTAAAAATCGCGCTCGGACAACATTAGTATTGTTATATGAAGTGGGCTTTTCCAGGGCTATCAAGAATTTGCTTGATTTTTTGTATGGAAAGTGTTACATAAATAAAAAATAAAATTCAGACCCTTGCCTCAAATCATCAAATCCGGTGTTCTATGTGAACAAACTTCAACTGGATGCAAACATGACAGTTGCATTTTTGAACGATTTCTCCCAGCTGACTAGCTTATCAGCAAAGAATTCCCGAACATCATTGCTAACCATAAAAATAAAAAATAACAAAAGGTTTACCGAGCATGTAATTTTGGCGACTAAGAATACAGATGTGAATGACATAAACTTTAAATTTCAGAACCAAATCGTTGGTACACTGCAATCAGCAACTGCAGCCACTAATTACACTAGTCAACACGACATATAGGCTGTGGCCCAAAAGGATGTACGAATATGTTTATGGTTTAGTTTTTTTTTAAAGAATTTTTAAATATCTGGTATTTTTTTAATGTTATCGTTTTTTTTATGGTTTAGTTTTTTTTAAAGAATTTTTTAAAATCGTATTTTTTAATGTTTTTTTCAGAGGTAGTGCTTGTATTTTTCACATAACTTAAGTATCTTATATCTGGTTGCTGCCACTAACAATACAGTATATAGATGTGCCTGTTCATACAACAA